AACACTAGTCTTGGCAGAGCCGCTCTGCTCCCCGAGCTCTGCCTCCTCGTCCTCTAGCTCTAGGGGGTCTAGTTCAAAGGCTAAGTTAGTCATTTCATTACCTGGACCGCAGTCAGGAGAGAGGAGGGAGGCGAGGTGGGGAGGAGTGGGATGGACATGGAGACACAGTACAGAAGGCAGGGATGGGATGGGGAAAAAAGAGAGAAGAAGAGGTGAATGGAACAGAGCTAGGAGAAATGAATGGGGGTGGGGTGGGGGAGGGAGGCAGAGAGACGGAGCTACCAAAGAAATGGGAAGGAGAGACATGAGAGAATGGGCGCGGATGGGCCCAGCTGGGGGGGTACCCTACTCTTCACGGAGGGGGTACCGCTGGGTGTATTTGGAGGACTCGGGACTGGGGTGCCCCCTACTGCAGGGAGAGGAGGGGACAGGCGATGGGAGACCACCCCACCGAGGAGCTCCTCCCAACGGCCTCCCCGCGGCCCCGTTCCCTAAGGTGGCAACGGCTCTTACCACTGGCAGGGGGCGTGGGGCGGCGGGTGCCAGTCACCACATCTCCCAGGCTGGAGCTGGAGTTGTCACCTGATTTGCTGTGTGGGCAGAGAGGCAAATGGAGCTGTGAGCGGAGGGGTGGGCGTCAGGGTGGGGGAGCCTTGTTCTCTCCCGTGCTGCCTGCCCCCCACTCCCCTGGAGACCCTCCAGCCCCGCTGGTGATGCCGGAGGCAGCTCTGTGCGCTCAGGGCAGTGGATCAACCCCCGAGGCCTAGTCCCAGCTGGATGGCCTCTCTGCGGTCCCCAGCTAGACACCTGGAGCTGAGGCGGTTCTGGCGCAGCTTCTGTTCCTGCAGAAGGCGCAGGCTGTCCAGTTTGACGGGGCTGGGGATGAAGCCAACCTCACAGCCCTCCTTCACCAGTCGCCCAATCCACCAGTCATTATTGTATTTCTGCAAACAACAGCGGGTGGGGTGGGAGAGACCAAGAGGGAGATTGGAGTGGCGAGCCAGCAGCTACTGGACCCGCCAACCCTGCCCAGGAGGCGGCACCTTCAAAGAGCCGGCCCCTGGCTCTGCCTGTGCCGTGGACCACCCTACCCCCAGCACATCCCTGTCCCACCACGTGCCCGCCCGACCCTCGAACGGCAGGGAGAGGAGTAAATGCTGACCCCTACGTGTGCCTGCATGCCGCCTCTCCACCTCCAGACCTCGTCACAAACCCTCTCAACAACTGTGTGACCTGGGCATCGCCACCCCATTTTACCAGGGAAAATTAGAGGCTCAGAGACGTGAAGAGATTTGTCTAAGGTCACACAGCGGATTCCGCCAAGCTCTGCTTGGCTCGGAGCTCCGGCTGCCCATCTCCTGGTACCCACCCCCTGCCCTCCTTCCAGATACCAAGTGCTCTCTCCACCTCTTTGATGTGCAGGAAGTCCTTGGGCTCGAAGGTGATGGCCACTCCCTGCACCGGCACCTCATCCCCTGGAGACGGGTTGTAGCCGACATTTGTCCTCACAGCAAATGCCACCGGCTTGGTCTAGAGGAGGTGCATGGGAAGGATAACAACCAGAGGGTTAAACCACAATGTAATGTGCTGGGGGGAGGTGGGGGCATGATGCGGAGGTTTGTTTGGTTGATCGCTAAAATGTATACTGAGTGGTTTCAGTAGTGTTCCTGTATGTATGTTAAAGTTCACAATAAAAAAATAAAAATTGACTTCAGCCTTCTCAGGATGGAGGGGGCCAGGTGGGACAGTAGGTATTAGCCCAGAATGACACCCAGAAAACTCTTAGTAATAATAATAATGATGACAGTAGCTATCATTTACTGCTCCAGGCATCGTGTTACATGCTTTACAAGCATTACCTCACTTATGCATCACAAAAACCTTAGGAAGTTAACTACTAGGGGCTTCCAGCAAGCTCGGTCAGTGGAGTGGGCGACTCTTGTTCTTGGGGTTGTGAGTTCAAGCCCCACATTGGGTGTAGGGATTACTTAAAAGAAAAATACTAAAATCTTTTAAAAAACAAAAAAGAAGCTAACTACCATAATTATCTGTATTTTAGTGAATGAGACTAAAGTTCAGAAAGGTTAAGTGGCTTGCCTAAGATCACACAGCTAAGAAGAGTTAGCCCAGGAAGTATGACTCCAGAAAGAAGTAGAAAGTCTCAAGTTCTTATTACATGTAGAAACACTATCAGGCACTTATTTATACTATCTAAAAAGGCAAGTTTTGGGGCACCTGGGTGGCGCAGTCGGTTAAGCGTCCGGCTTCAGCCAGGTCACGATCTCGCGGTCCGTGAGTTCGAGCCCCGCGTCAGGCTCTGGGCTGATGGCTCAGAGCCTGGAGCCTGTTTCTGATTCTATATCTCCCTCTCTCTGCCCCTCCCCTGTTCATGCTCTGTCTCTCTCTGTCCCAAAAATAAATAAACGTTGAAAAAAAAAAAAGGCAAGTTTTATAGCCCACATTTTACAGCTGTAAGACAGAGGCACGTCGAGGCCCTGGGGTACACCAGCTAAGAAGTGGCTGGGACAAGACTTGACCCTGGGTCTATCCAGGCCATCTCTAAGGCCTGGGGGTGAGATAAATACTGCCAGGACAGCACCCTGATTCTGTATTTCTCACCTTGGCTTTCTCGAGCTGGGCTAATGCCTGGCGTTCTGCCTCCTTCCTTAAGGCTTCCCGGTCCTCCTCCAGAGACACGTCAGAGTCCGATGGACGGCTGGTGTAGGACTCCGCTGAGCCCTAAAAACAGACACAGGGCCAGCTGAGGGCCAACACTGCCTCCCAGTTCCTGGGCCTCGGAAGGCACAGAGGTGCCTGCCACCTATCATGGATGCCTCAAGCCCCAGCCAGCCCAGCGTGATGCCACAGGGGCTAGGAAAAGGTGGCATTAGATGAGAGAAGCCAGGGACTGAGATTTGCAGGCCCCTGGGAAAAGTGTGGCCCTAGGAAGGGTGACAGCAGCAAGCAGGGGGTTAAGGCAGATCCAAGGACAGCTGCTTGGGGCCCAGGGAGGGGTGGGAACCTGATAGGGGCACAGCGCAGGGGAAGAGTGCCAGGGGACGAGTCTCCACTCCCAGTTCCTCCTTCCCTCCCCTGCCCCCAGCACCAACTGAGATAGACTCAGCAGAGGCCCACCGAGTCCTTCCAGGGACAGTAGCCACCAGCTTAGGCCTGAGGTCTCTGCACTGTGGGCAGAGGGCAGCCTGCTCTTGCTCTGCATGACGGGGCCGCCAAAACTTTTGCTATCTTCTGCTCAACAGTGAAGGAAGATAGAATCCTACTTCTCTGGCCAGAATCAGAGGAGCCCCAACCCTCAGGCTCTCACGAGATACAAAAGAGAACCCAAGATTCCTGGGGTAGTGCAGGCAAAAGAGGCAAGTGAAGAGCAGGACAGGGGGCAGGCCCTCTCTCCAATACTAGGGCTGCTGGCTGCTCGGGGTAAGGCAGGCCCAGAAGTCTGGCTAGGCCAGGAAGCTGGCCTTGACCACACTGACCATCCCAGAGCACAAGAAACTCTGTCAGGGATGCGGGCACATGTGTGAGACATGTAACCTGTCCAGACCCAAAGTGTCAATGAACATGCTTATTCACAGGCGTGCTTGGATGTGCAACTTCAAATGTGTTTAGAAGGGTGCATTCTATGGTATGTGCTGGATATACATGACTGAACGCATAGAGGGGCACGTGAGCGCAAACAGGGGAGCGCCCTAGGTGTCGGTGTCCCTGACGATGTGTGGCACGTGAGGGCAGGATCCAGGAGGTGTGAATTTGTGTGACTGGGAAGTGGTGGTGTTGCTACAGGGGCAGGAGGTGATGTGGGGAAAGAGCAGGACTGCAGACATGTGACGGTTCTTTCCTGAGGCCATGAAAGGTCACTTGGTCAGGAATGCCCATTAGCTTGGTAAGGAGGGGACCTAGGAAAGAGAAAAAACGAAGTCCCACCTCCCCCAGAGGGACCTGGTCATTAGCTAGTGAGGTTGCCCATTCCTTGAGCAGCCAGATCACAACAATGGGAGACTCAGTGAAGGCACCAAGACCGGGGTGGGGGTGGAGACGCTAATGGAAGGTAGAAAAGAGACAAGAAGGATCAACAATAGCCAAAGTATGGAAAGAGCCCAAATGTCCATCGATGGATGAGTGGATAAAGAAGGTGTGGTATATATACAATGGAGTATTACTCGGCAATCAAAAAGAATGAAACCTTGCCATTTGCAACGACGTGGATGGAAGTGGAGGGTATTATGCCAAGCGAAATTAGTCAGAGAACGGCAAAAATCATGGGACTTCGCTCGTATGAGGACTTCACGATATAAAACAGATGAACGTAAGGGAAGGGAAGCAAAAAGAATACAAAAACAAGGAAGGGGACAAAACATGAGACTCTTAAATATGGAGAACAAACAGAGGGTTACTGGAGGGGTCGTGGGAGGCGGGATGGGCTAAATGGGTAAGGGACATTAAGGAATCTACTCCTGAAATCATTGTTGCACTATATGCTACCTAATTTGGATGTAAAATTTACAAAAGAAAAGAGACAAAAAGGAAGGAGAGCGAAAACCAGCTAATCTACCACTCTCCACCCCTCCTGAGGGGAGTACTCAGGGTCAGGGAGGCAGATGCCCAGAGAGCCAGAGAAACAGACCCAGAGACAGAGTGACTGAGAGACATGTACCGATCCTAACACACATATGCACACACGCACACACACAGACATGCGCGCACAGAGACAAGGAGCAGGAGCAGGAATGGTGAGGAGACAAGGAGACAGGCTGGAGTGAGAACCCCCCCCACCGCCAGCTTTCCCTTTGGGGCTGCTCCCACCCATCCCTACCCCATCCCTAGCTCACCACTACGAGGGTCCGGCTGGGCGCCTCCATCCCGGCGCCCTCAGTGCCTGGCCCTGCTGGCCTAGGGGGTGGCCCAAACTGCCCGTTCCCCCGGGGGGCTCAGGTTACAAGCAGAGTTGCTACATGTGCAAACTGCTAGGGTATATTTAGCTCAGAGATGTGGCAAGGCCTGCTCCCCCACTCCCCGCCACCTACTGGGGGTCAGAGAGAGGGAGCTGAGAGGAGGAAGGATTAGAGGCTGGGGTCTGATCCCCTGTGGTGGCAAACAGTAAAGGAACCAAGGCCCTTCTCTGTCAAGAGGCGTCACACCGAGCACAGTGTCATTCCTCCTAGCCCTGGCCCTGGTCCAGCCCTGCAACAGGAGGAACGAGGAAAAGACTGAAGAAAGGACTTCTTATCCGTCTGTGTACTTGGAAGATGCTGGGATGAAGAGCTCCCTGTCTGACCCTCTCAAGTCAGGCCTGAGCTCACAGGTGCCAACCGTCGTGGAGAGAGAAGAATCAAAAAGAAGAGCTCACTCCAATCTGTGGTGGATCTGCGTGGCACCTCTCTCTCTCTCCAGCCCAGGGGGGGCTGACCTCCCTACTGTCCTCTGCCCTCATATGCCCTGCCCGTTTCCTCTTTGGCACACTCCCTTTCCTTGTCTGATCCCAAGCCTCTCTCGCCTTTTTTGGGTACCAGGCTTTGTTGAGATGCTCTGTAGTCATAGCAACCACATGCCTCTCTGGCTGCCTCTCCCTGAGCCTGAGATGGCCTGGGGTTGAGAGTGAGAACACAGAGGAGAATGGCATCTTCCCGACTGAGAACAGAAGACCCCAGAAAGCTATCCACTTATCTCCCTTCGCTCAGGGGTGCTGCTCTCTGAAACCAACTCCCTCCTGCCCTCACCACCACCAACACACTTTCTGCATATTAAAGACCAGTCATAGCTGGACATGCCGTGGGCCTTTCCCTGACCCTTACCTACCCGGGGCTCCAGGGACCCAGATGACCTGGCTCTACATTTTTTAGGCTCTGCTTCTACCCCACGCTGTCACAGATTCTGGGGGAGGACATGGAAGCAGACAGCCGGCAGGGGGAGTGGGTGACAGCCCGAAGCAAGCTAGAAGGAGGCAGGCTGTCCCTGAAAGAGATGACGCAGGCAGGCAGCAGGGGCTGGTGCCTGGAGCTGGGGGAGGGGCGGGGCGGGGGCTGAGGGAGTGGGTGCAGCTGACAGTATATGCAGAGGTCATGGAGGTAAGGGTGATCCGGTGGTTCCAGGCAGGTGACAAATGCCATGGGGGTGGGTGCCTGGAGAAAGCCTCAGATCCAGCTCACTAATGCTGGTCTCCACCAACCAGCCACCTCCTTTCTCTCAGCCCAGCCTCCCCATTACCTGGCGGACAAAACTGTTGGATGTCGTATCCGAGGACGTGCTCCCATCCGACCTTTTGAACCGCCCTTTCCTCTTGCTGTATTTGCCCTGGAGAAGCCAGGAAGGGACAAGAGTGGAATCAGAAAGGGCCTTTCCCAACCCTCATCCCATCAAGCCCAGAGCTACAGCCAAGCCTTGGGAATATCAGCCCCTGATCTGAACAACCATTCCCCCCATCTTCTTCCTGAGATGGTACAGCCCTAAGGGGAGGGAAGGCCCAGACCACAGCCCTGGGGTGGGGGACAGTGCAAGAGAGCCCCAGGAAGCACACACGGAAACCCCCAAACCAAGCCAGAGAGGCTGGGAACGGGGAGGCGCTGAGAAGCTGGAGGCTCATTAGGCAGCAAAGCTAATTAAGATGCTGGGCAGGCTGCAGAGGCCTCCTGGGAAGGGAGAGGCTGCCTGCAGTGTTAGGGGGGCAGAGAGAGCTGGGGAGAGTCCCCCTCCCTTTCCCCCTTAGCTGGAGCAGGGGGGCCAAGTATGCCTGTAGCCCCCAGAGAGAAGAGGAATCGCCAACCCAGGCCCAGCTTAGCTCTTCCTGTGACCGAATCTTGCCTTCATTTTTCCGCAGAGTGGGGAGGGGAGTGGCAGCTCTCGGCCCTAGGAGACCCCAAACTAGATTTCCGGGGAAGGGGCTGGGGGGGGGGCATGGAACTGTATTCAGAAAGGAAACATCTAACCCCAACCCACTCCAGTGGGCAGCCCTCAACCTGACCCCACAAGACTTTTCCTCAGCCCCCTCCTCACAATCAGTGGTCACACCCCTCCCCTTGGGGAAAGGGATCAAGCTTCCACTGTCTAACCCCTGGCTGCCACCGCCTACGCCCCGTCCCCATGGTCCCCACCAGGCTGCATCAAGTTCAATGCCCCTCGGCCCTGCCCCAACACAAGCCTGGGACACAACCCCCACTGTTTCCTGGGGTAGGCTGGCTCAGTCTCACTGGCTGCACTCCTGGCTTGGGTGGAGTGGACCCTGTCTGACCTCTCTCGAGCGGCCACACATTCAGGTATTTCCAGGCCTCCTGTAAAGGGGGCTGCTTCCTTGCCCTCCTTAACTCATATACACACGTGGCCCCAGGCCATTCCAAAGTAGGGCGGGATGATTGAGGGTTCAGGCCCTCCAAGCCCTTGCCCCCACTGTCAATCCTAGAGTTTCTTTGCCAAAGAAGCTAGATTAGATATGATCACATTAGGGGCTCTGGTTCCTTAGGCCTGAGTACAAGGAGCATGGATAAATGGGAGAGAAGGGTACCTGGGAACCCTTCAAAAACCCTCCCTCCCATCCCCTTCTCTCAAACCAGACAAATACCCAACCCCTAGGACTGAGGATCCCTACAAACTTAAGAGGATCCTTCAGTGAGCCCCAGACTCTCTTTCACACCACCACCACCACCACCACCACCCCAGGATGGGAAAAGGGAGTGGCACCCAGAGAGACAAGGGACAGCTGAAAGGAAGGCTCCAGTCAGCTGCCTCCAGGCTCCAAGGGGCCTGGGGTGGAGAAGGGAGGTATTTTTAGGTCTAACCTGCTCCCCCCCCCCCCCCCCCCCCACCGCCATGCCCATCAACCACATTATCATGGTGGTTACAGTTGCTCTACACTGGCAAGAAAAGAGTTAATGGTATCCTAGCCTTGGGAGTGTTGCCAGATTAGAGAATGGCCTTGTCCCAGAGAAATCCCTTGGTACGACCACCCCAGACCCTAACCAGCCAGCCCAGATACTGCTGGTCACTCCATGGGCACACACCACACCCAAGAATGCCCCTTCCTGGGGATAACCCAGGTTGCAGGTAAGTGTGAGTAGGGGTGGGGCGGCAGACACCCCCCACCACCCAGGTAACACAGCGTCTTCCCCTCCAGGACAGTGAGTTGGCATCCATCCAACTTTCCAAACTTTGGAGGCGTTTTCTAAGGCTGGGGAGGGGAGGGGGGTGGAGTAGGAAAGATAACGTGGGTGTTGGGGTAGGGAAGCTGGTCCAAAAGAAGGATGTAGATGAGGTGCCAGGATGGAGGGGGTCTAGCCCAGGGCTGGCCCCTTCCCCACCCTCTAAGGCCAGTGTCTGCGGCTCCGAAGGCCTGCTGGCACCGCCCTGACCATCGCCTCGGCCATCACCCGGTACCTCCCCCGCCCCACCCACCCCCGCCTGGCGCCCCTGAGCGTGCTCTGCGTCGCCCCCTTTGCCTGAGCTCGCTCTCCAGCCTCCCTCAACCCCCGGCTGCCCCGCCAGCACCCCCACTCTCAACCCATGGAGCCGGTACCCAAGCAGCAGAGACCCTGACGCGGGGGAGCCGAGGCGAGGGTGACAGGAGGCCCGATCGCCCCCTCCCCGCTCCGCCAAACCGCAGCCCAACTCCGGGCCAAGCGCCCATCAATCATTAACCCGCAGGGATTGGGGGCGCGCAGGCGCCCCTCGCCCCTCCTCGCCGGGCACATAACTCCTTCTTCCCCGGCGTCCCTCGAGCCGACCCCACAAGGTCCGCGGGAGCGGCCCCCCTGCCCTCGGGCCCGGCCACCACACCTCACCTGCGGGCTGGGGTCGAAGACCTCCATGGGGATCTCCTGGGAGGGTGGGTAAGGGCTCCGGGACATGCTGGTCTTCTGGACCATGGAGAGGAGCCTCCCCTCCGGCCGCCGGCCCGGCCCAGCCGGACGCCCTCAGCGCATGAAAGAGGCCGTCGGAACCGAGAGCAGCGCAGCGCGGCCGGCACCCGCTCCAGCCACCTGGCCCGGCCTTCGGCTGCCCTGTTCCAGCCTCCAGTCCCTCCTCCCGCTCTCTCCTCTGCCGCCGCCGCCTCCTCCGCCCCTGAAGGCTCAGCATCTCCCCCCGCCCCCTCCGCTCCCACCTGCCCCTCCTTCCCTCCGCCCTCCCTCCCTCTGCCCGCCCCGGCCCCGCCCCTCGCAGCCCCTCAGCAGGCTCCGCACAGACAATGGGAGGGCAGCCGGAGGGAGGCACGCCCCTCCTGGCTCCGGGAGGGGGTGAGCGCCGGCCTCCGACCGGCCCGGGGAGAAGGTGGCTCACTCCGGGTACAGGGGTGGAGGGAGGAGTGAAACCCTGCCTTGGGGCGGGGGGGGGGGGGGGGGGGGGGGGGGGGGGGGCGCGGTTTACCGGTGGATGCCAAGCGCTGATTGAAGTGAAGCGCGGATTGGCACGGCCCCCCCGTTTCCGTCCCAAACCACTCTCACTTAGCAGGTCTGCCCATTCCACTCCAGTGGGGGCCGCCGGAACTTCCCGATCCCTTTGATCCTGGGACCTGGCGTTAACCCCTTTCTCCCCGGTGTGGGCCTAGACTGACTTGAACCAAACCGGAAGGGCCCACTCCCTCCGACAGGACCGTGACGGCCCGCCGGTCAGCCAACCCGAGGCTGAGGCTGGGGTGAGAAGGATGTCCAAAGGGAGTCCCCATCACAGACAACAAGAAATCCCAGAGACCCAGGGGTCTTTCTGCCCTAGTCCCTAGAATCCCCCCAGACCTTCCAGAAGGCAAGGTCCCTGCTCCTTGGAAAAGAGAGGAAAGGGTAGGAAGAAATGCGGAGTTGAGAGAGGAAAGTAGCTAAAATCAGATCTAGTGACTTTTGACCTAGAATTCTCCCCCCTTCATCCTCGATTTGGGGACAAATATCCAAGGCCTGGACCCCACCCACCACTACCTATGGAAAGAAGAGGACTAGGGGATTCTAGCAAGCATTCTGGTGTTAGGGTGCCTGGCTGGCTCAGTCGGTAAAGCATGCGACTCTATGTCAGGGTTGTGAGTTCCAGCCCCACATTGGGCATAGAGGTAAATTTAAGAAAAACAAAACAAAACTCTAGCGTCAATTTGGCTCAGGCTATTTCTGGTTGTGTGGCCCTGGAAAAGTCACTACACTTCTGTAAAATGGGGTTGCCCATACTGTGGTATCTTTGTCACCTGGGATTACTGGGAGGATGAGGGAGAATGAAATTAAATGAGGACTCCTTAGATGTTTGGAGATGCTGTAAGACGCTGAACAGAGGTCTGTCATATCATGACAGGAGGAACTGTTACCTCTCTATCCCCTCCTTGCTCCTCAAAGAGGGGAGATGAGAAGGAGAATGGACAAGATTTGCCCAGGTTCAGTGACCTGAATATAAAGGCCAGCCTGCTGTCTCCTGCTGGAGGAGAAACTGTGGAATACACTGACTCCTTCTCACCCTGGGTTCTACAAGTGGATGGTCGGTTAAGTCATTTCTCTGATTACATTACTTTGAGGGTGAGTAAGGATGAAGTACGTCAGCGTTGTTCTATGAACAGATCCAACCCTAAGCAGGGGTTTAATCTGTCCCTTGGACACAAGAGAACCTGGTATGAGGGAGAAAGCATGAATACTGAATTTGGAAAGACCTGGATTTTCAATCTCTTCTACCTCACTCGGCTGTAAAATGAGAATGACATCAACTGTGTTGTTTTGAAGAAGTGGCATAAATTTTGCTTTTCTTCCTCTCTTTCCTCAGCTCTTTAGCAACCAGGAAAGTTCAAATGATAGAGATGGGTGATTAGCTAGAGCCAAACAAGTAGTTATACCCAGGACTCAAATCTAGGTTTCTTGAACCCTAGAATACTCTCTTCAGGTTTTTGCATTGGGTGTTTAAGAGCAGGAGAAAAGAACTATGGATGTCCCTGTCATTCCATTTTTTTTTAACTTTCACAAGTATTCATTCACTCAGCCAATGCACTATTTTTCAAATGCTTACTATATGCAGAGCCCCATGCCTCCTGTAGTACAGACAGTGTGAGCCAAACAAGACTGGTTCCCATCACCAAGGAGCTTGTCTTCATGTCCTCCTTTGCAAATTAACTCATATGGTTTTCACAAGGGATGACAGAAATATTAGGATTACGTACACTTTACAAAGGAGCAAACTGAAACACTAAGAGATAAAGGACTGCAGTGGCGCAAAAACATAAACTAGTGTCTTTGGTGATCTACCCTGTGCTGCACGGGTTCCCAATGTACTGCGACAGTGAATAAAAGGTTTCTCTTAACTGATCTCTACGCTCGTTATCTTCTCTCACTCCATTCACTAATTCCAACCCCCACCCTCCGCCCCGCCCCGCCTCGCTAATAAAACATCATTCCTGAGAATCCAGGACGCCTGCAAAGAATAGGCCACTCCAGCAAAACTACAACCCGCCTGCGCCCATCCAGTCGTAACTTCCGGCTTCCATTACCCACGTGATCAGGTACGCTTGCTGCGCATGCCTAGTAGGAAGTCGGGCTATACCACTTTGCCTCACCGAGAGGGTGTATTTTGTATGTTTTTAAGTTTAAAACAGATTCCCGAGATTACGCTTGTATTATCTTAGTATTCACAGAGGATAAGAGTAAGTTTAGGGTGGCAGGAGATGAAAGGACTGGAGGGGAATATGGCGAAAGCGGAGCAGGGGATGGGCTCTCCCCTTCACAGATAATGGGAGGAGCCTGGCCAGAGCGAGTTCTTTCCTTTCGGCGCTGCGGCCGCAGCCATGAGGTGAGGGCGCGTGGGCCTCTGATTCTAGCTGATCCGAGGTGCGGGAGGGCAACAGGGCTTCCTTCCACGGCCGCGGGTGGGAGAGATGAGGTGGAGGCTGCCCTGAAGCAGCCGGTCCCGGAACTTGGGCTAGGCCGGAGCACACTAGGCCCCGGCCTCGAGGAGATGGGAGAGAGCGTCCCGAGAACTCTAGGCCGCGGGGAGGGAGGGCCCCGTGCCCCATACGGATCGCGGGTGACCTGCGCAGGCAGAGGAAGGGCTGCGGCGGGGACTAGGCTGTGGTCACCTTACTAGCTGGGTGCCCCGAATCGGAGCCGGTCTCTGCTTCCATGTGACGTAGGACACGTCTCTCGTAGGCCGCGGGCCTCAGACTGCTTGGAGTGAGGCGATCCCTAGCACTTTAACGCCTTCCACCCCATGGACGGTACATAAGAAAACAATTAAGGTTAGCAGAACATAAGTTTATTACTGTGGTAAGACGAAAACTGGCCCGAGAAGCAAAGGACTAGCAAACAACATACACCGGCCTCGGACTCTTCACATTAGACGCTTGTTTTTAGAGCTCAGTCCAGGAAGGGCAGAAGCCCCCTCTTCATCCAATTTTATCCGGTCTTACCTCTTTTTCCAGAGGAGAAGCCTGAGGCAGAAAAGTTACAGAATAGCTTGGGCTTTGTCTTCATTCCAGGACAGCCCGTTGCCCCACAGGAATGCCCAGCACAGGGTTTAACAAAGGTCTTGCTATAGGAAAGATACTTAATATGGGGTTGGAGAAAGAGATGTTTGCCCTGAATACTGAGAGCCTGCACATCATCCACTTTCCATGTTGTATGTTTCACAACATTAAATGATTGGAAGGCAGGTCTTGCTGGGGATGCTCGTTTTTGCCCTGGAATGGATTCCAGAGCCTGATAGTGTTTTCTGTTTGTCACAGTATGCTCAGGCTTCAGAAGAGGCTTGCCTCCAGTGTCCTCCGCTGTGGCAAAAAGAAGGTCTGGTTGGATCCCAATGAGACAAATGAAATCGCCAATGCCAACTCCCGTGAGTTCTTGGGATCTTCTTCACCTTATCCCTTCCTCGTTCTTTATGAGATGAAAGATTTCACGATCGTATTGACTCTTAACAAACCTAGGAAAGCTCATAGTCTGGGGTTTTCTAAAATGGAGGGTCCAAGAAATTTGGAGAGGCCAGAGGTCCTGTCCCTGCCGTTTGCCAGAATGACAGGATAGAAGTCAGTGAAACAACCCAATGTCGTATTTATGATTATTGCTAGAGTTGATATTCTGTTTTACAGCTACGTGAAGGAGTTTTGAGGAGACAGTACAAGGACTGGGAGTAGAGATGGCCAGGGAAACGGTGCAGTGATGGATTGGGCAGACCTGGGGCCTCAGGCTTTAGCAAAGGCTGCGTGGCGTGTGATTATTCAAGGCAGTTAAACAGGTGTCAGTCCTGCAGATAGCAACATAACCCACATTACTTCCGTGTAATCATTGTTGCAGAAAAAAGTGTTCAACGATCTTTGTTAAAGATAGTAGGGCAGGCTTTATTCAGGACCATTGCTGCAAGTGTAGGACCACTGCAGTGGGATTTTACACTGGGGGACAGACTGCTGTCCATTCTGAACATAGCACGGTCACGTAGGAATTCATGGCGAAGAGGGTGATGTGAGGGTCAGTGTATGGAAGATTATTAAAAGGAAACCTTAGTGTCAAGGGGGATTCTGGCTAAACTGAGCTAACTGGGTTGTTGCTGAAGACCAGGCCGGGATGATCAGGCATTGCCTAGGAAATGTTGGTGGATGAAGAAACTGATCTGCTATCAGGGGTAGGGGTTTCTGCTTAATTAAATTGACTTAAGCAGGCTTCTTAAAAAACTAGAATTTACAAGGAAGTGCACAGGTGGGCCTAGGAGGTGGTTTGGGAGCCTGACGAAAGTTTGGTCAAGCAAAGAAGGTTGGTCAATATCAGGGAATTCCTTAACCAGTTTGAATTTGTGGCATTGTGATATGTGCTCAAAATATCCTAATCTTCAGAACAGTGGGTAATAGTTGAGACAGGATCTGAAGGACTAGGCCATATCTGCACACTTTTGATCACACGTCCCTAAGTACATAAAATTTGAGTGTGCTGTAAAACGTCTCGAGAGATAGGGGGGAACATCTTAACAGAAGAGAAACAAGCAGAAGTTCTAGTATTTGTATCATTTTTGAGCCCACTGGGCCAGGGATGTGAGCGATGTCCCTGGCTTGTCCTGTTTGGACTCTGGATCGTGACTGGTATTCTTGGGGCTAGGCCCCAGCACACTGACTAGATACATTATGTTTTCCCAGGTCAGCAGATCCGGAAACTGATCAAAGATGGGCTGATCATCCGGAAACCTGTGACTGTCCATTCCCGGGCTCGATGCCGGAAAAACACTTTGGCCCGCCGGAAGGGCAGACATATGGGCATTGGTAAGTGTGTTCTTCCCCTTTCTCCAAGACTCAAATTAGAGCTGCCTGAGTCTAGACTGAGCTATATCCAGGGTCTACCCCGCCCCGTTTTGTCTCCTCTTAAGCCCTTTTCTTACTCCTTGATATTTGGTGAGCTTTCTTTGTGTGCAAATCAGAAAGTTGACGATAGTGTTGGAGTTGAAGGTATTAGTAAAAAGAGGTCCTGTTCATTGAGCCCCTACACTATGCCAAGGATTCTATTGGGTATTTGAAAACGTTGCCCAGCAAATTCTAAAATTACTTTCTAGGGTTAGGATACTTTAAGGAGGTGAAGGTCACACCGCCTTTAACTTACCATACTGCCTTGGTGCACACCCTGTCATACACAACGTTATGCACCAAGTGAATGGGGAATAGTAGCCTTGTTGAGGCTTCCTTAAAATGAATAAATGAAAGAAATGCTTAGTCTCATTATCTGTAAAATGGAATTAATAGTACTGAAAATGAGTTCGGGCACTTGCCACATGACTGAGTGAATTATAAAGTCTATTAGAAATTGGTAGCTGTCCGGGGCGCCTGGGTGGCGCAGTCGGTTGAGCGTCCGACTTCAGCCAGGTCACGATCTCACGGTCCGTGAGTTCGAGCCCCGCATCAGGCTCTGGGCTGATGGCTCAGAGCCTGGAGCCTGTTTCCGATTCTGTGTCTCCCTCTCTCTCTGCCCCTCCCCCGTTCATGCTCTGTCTCTCTCTGTCCCAAAAATAAATAAACGTTGAAAAAAAAATTTTTAAAAAAAAAAAAAAAAAGAAATTGGTAGCTGTCCTTGTGACCGGTCAGCTGGCTCTAGTAATGGACTTGAGACCCAGGGGCACTACAGTGGGCTTAACTTCTCTTCCCTACAGGTAAGAGAAAGGGTACTGCCAATGCCCGAATGCCTGAGAAGGT